TTAAGCTGAGAAAACAGTGACAGAGTATATCTTTCTGGATAATTCACTCCCATAAGGCTTCAAGTATAACAAATAATTCAACCAGCATGATTCTAATTTAACTTATTTTTGTCACACTTATTAAGATATTTCAAAAAAGAAAGTAAGCTATATACTGATTCTAAAAATTAATGAGTCCGTTGACAACAATTTGTTTCAAAACAATTCCAAGTTCACTCACCAGCCAAATGGCAGAAAGAAAGTCAACTAACTTGGTATTTGAGGATTTTGGAAAAGGTTTAGAAAATCTGATTTAATTTTATATATTTCCTTTATAATTTTCTTATCTTTAAAACACAAAAATTTTTGATGAATGTCAAATTCTTGGAGAGAGAAAATTTATTTTTATTACCCATGCAAATGATATTTAATCAATTTAATCCTTTAGGGATTGCCATATTTATAAATAAATAAAAAGCATTCTTACAAATCACTCTTTTTTCCATGATGTGTGACATTTTTTTCCTGTCATTTTATTGAACTGATGATTCAAAAATGTCTCTAAATGGAAAGGTTTAATTCTTCTTGATAAGAGTCCCTTTGGAAAGATTTCCTTGAGGTCCTGAACATTCTCAAATAAATCAGAATTAAAAAAAATCCTTCCGTATCAATCGTGAAACAATATATGTTAGCAATGACTTTTTATTTAGCATTATAAGGTTTCATTTCATACTATTTTATTCATCCCACTATATATTTTGCTGATCATTGGTATAAAATTAAATTAATCTCTGGAATTTTAAAAGTGATTTTTGAAGAGGGTAATCCATTTCTGACAAAAATTCTCTTCCAGGATGGAGTGAAAATTTTGGCTTTTCAGTAACAGCAGTTATTGGCATTAGCTGCTACATCAACCAACATCCCTTAAATTAACCAAATTGTTTATATAGATGCCAACACCAGGGAATTAAGTAATTTTACAGTTTAGAACCTATACTCAAGAGTTATATTCTTAAGGACTAATCTTGTCATCACTCACTGAGTGTATGACTTTAAACATTTATTTTTCCTGTGCATCCATTTTATCTTATGCAAAATGATTCACCTCTCAGAGTTTGATGATTAAATAAGGTAATACTCATGTCTGTCATATGGTATGCACCAGCTCTATGATAGCTATAATTATTACATCAACAGCACTTGAAATTGTTAATATTTGTCATTAGGTAGAAACTATATTTTTAGCTGTTCCAACATAACAATATATTCATGTGGGTGACAATTTACTCATTTTATTACTTAATCCATTAACAATGTAGGAAAATAGGTTTTTTTTTTTTTTAGATTTATTTTATTTATTTGAAAGACAGAATTACAGAGAGAGGTAGAGACAGAGAACTCTTCCATCTGCTGGTTCACTCCCTCGATGGCTGCAACAGCCAGAGCTGGCCTATCTGAAGCCAGGAGCCAGGAGCTTCTTCCTGGTCACCCACACAGGTACAGGGGCCCAAGGACTTGGGCCATCTTCCACTGCTTTCCCACGCCACAGCAGAGAGCTGGATCAGAAGAGGAGCAGCCGTGACTAGAACCAGTGCCCATATGGGATGCCAGCGCTTCAACCCGCTGCGCCGCAGCGTCGGCCCCAGAAAATAGGTTTTTAAAATAGTTCTTTTTCAATGTTTTATTTATATAAGGTGAACAAATTTCCTGTATTTCATATCTATACAGATTTAAGAGTATAGTGATGTTTTCCACTTTACCCTCTCATCCATGCTCCCACCCTCCCTCCTCCTTCTTTACTTTTCACTTTTACAATGGCATGATTTAAATTGATTTTATAACCATAAGCTTAACTTTTCACTACATAAAGAATCCAACAAATAGTAAGGAAAAAAAAGCGCTGCTCCTCCACAGTAGAGAAAAGGGTTATGAACAATAGCTATTTCAAACTATTCGAAAGCAGATGAGCCAATGAAGAACTATTGTGCAAAAATTGAATGGAAATGAGATTCTACATATGTAACCAGCACATAGTATAAAGTCTACTTTCTTCCAGGGCATTGACCAACCTAAGCATATTTGGACTTCATATCTTGTGGCTTTGAAGAGAGATAGGTACCAAGTCAAGGGCCTGGATGCACCAAGGTGGGAAATGTATTGAGACCTTCTGATCATTAAGCTAGATCATCAAAGAGTTACTACTGCTTTAGTCCATTTTTTGTTGCACACCAGCATTCCAGAGATGGGATAATTTATAAAGAACAGAGTTTTATTTAGGCTTCTAGAGGTTGGGGAGTCCAAGAGCTTGATGATGCACCTGCTTCAATCCTGGTAAAGCTTCTTGCTCCTTCAGTGCCTGGCAAGAAGCAGAATGGCAAGTGGAGGCACATGAAGGCACAAAACACAAAGGGAAGTCTTGCTTTATATCAGCCTATTTTTATGGCAACCGATCCAGAATACCAAGAGCAAGAATGAACTCAATCCAGGAGATGGAATTAATCTCTTCAAGACAGTGGCTCACTCAGCACCTGAATTCTGACAGGCCCCCACATTTCAGCATTATTATGTTGGGGTCCAAGTCTTAGCATTAGTTTTGGTGGGGATAAACCATCTTCAAACCATAAAATACACATAGGGAAAATGTGAGTATAGGAAGTAAAGGAGGGTAGAAAGTAGTACCTGTGAATTTGTTTCCCAGCCTTGGTTGAGTATTCCTAATATTTTCAAACTATGAATCTGAATTGAAGAATTTTCAGATAAAAAGTGTACCCACAAGCCAAAGCCAAATACTTGGTTTGGAAAACTTCGTCTAGTCTTTAAAGAGTTCTACAAATTCTTTTTTAAGTGAGTGTATCTTAATATAACCAAGTTCATAATATAACACAATATTATGAGGAAGAAATAACAGAAAAAAATACAAGAAACAGAGCTACAAAGGTTTCAAATATAGTGACTTCAAAAAATAATAGTAGGTATTTTTACTGTTTTCAGTACATAGAATAGCTTTACAATCTATAGGAAATGTAAAATGCATAATAGTATATTTAGAAAAAAATGAATTTCTGTAAATGAAAAATCAATTAACCAAAAGTTACATCTCATTGGTTGGATTAAACATCTGAATAGCAGAACTGAAGAGGTAAATAGTAATCCCATACCTAATCAGAATAAGTTATTCAAAATGGTGCTCATGAAGCAAAAAAATATGGGATATTTAAGAGGAGTTAAGAAGTATGTAGATTATTAACAAATTCTGACATGTGTTTAAATGGTATTTAAGAAGAGTGGAGAGATAATGGAATAGTGTAAAAATATGAAGAGTTGAGAATTTTTTCAAAACTGATGAAATATGCTATCCATAGATTCAAAAGCCAAATAAACTCTAAGCAGGAGTGTACTCCCAGAAGGCTTCCACCTTGGAATTCCATACTTTGCAAAACAAACTTCAAGAATAAGGACAAAATAAAAATAAGCTTACAGAGAAAGACAGGCAGACAGAGAGGAGAAAGAACAATAAATACTGAGAATTTATTAAGAGCAGACCCTCCTGGGTAGGAAGAAGGACAGTGAATTCAGATGAAGGATAAGAGAAGCAATAAAAATGAAATTCAAAAAAGTTGTCAATATATACTAATGTCAATCAGGATTTCTCATGATCAACATTATTGACACTACGAGCCAAGCGTTCTTATTGTGGTGGCTGTCTTGTTTATTCTAAGGTGTTTAGCAATATTCTTGTCCTACCTACCAGACGCTTGTATAAACTTTCTTCCCCAAACTCCATATATCACAACCAATAATGACACTAGACATTGCCAAATGTCCCCTGGGGAGCATTATTGAAAACCACTGATCTAAATTTGAAAAATATTGGAGCAAATAAATATTCATTTATAAAACAACAATAAATAGTATCTTGTGATCAAAAGATTGAATTAAAATTCACAAAGCCAGGATATAGATCAGGAGCAAGAAAGGGATCTGGTATAATGGGGGGCGGGAGAAATAATAAAATCAAGTAAATGAAGGAAAAAGGAAAAAAAATAACAAACAGGTAGGAGGCAGCAAAAACGATTTAGGATGAATGATGCAAAAAGAATAGATTTGTGCAATAGATAGGAAAATAAAATTCCTACTACATTTTGTTAATTAGAAATATCTCTAGCAACAAAGGACAATTTTTAGCTGAAGAAAGAAAAGATGCATTTTGGAAGAAACGTTGTGTAACTATTATTATCAGACAAAATAGCTTTTAAATAGAATAGAGTAGTCAACATTTCTCTAGATTGTTTCAGATCTGTGATGCGATGGAAAAAAAAAATCCTCTGTTGCCCTTTCGTGGTGCGTTCATGTTTTTCTTCTGTGCATGCAAAGCCAGAAAAGGAGCACTGTACAGGGAATCACAGGATTTTACTACAGCCAGGAGCAAAACTGATAAAAGTGATGACCAAAACACTTCCAGCAAGTTCTACACTTAGACGTAGGGGCTTTCATCTTAGTGGCAGGAATAAAAACATTTTAGACAGAACATTGAACTCTTTTAATGAGAAAGCAAGTCTCCCAGTTTGTACTGAGAACATTTCTTAATTAAATAATTCATAAATCTGTGCTAAGCAATTTTGAGATTAAAATTAGGATTTTTCTATCTCTCCTTAGCTTTTCATTTCTCTCTCACACACAATAATAAACAATAGCCAGCATATGGAGACATTTTGTACTCCCTCAGAAAGAAATCTGAACCTGTTTAAAAACTTGTTTAGCATAACCCCACAGAATCATCTGTTTAATTTTATTTATTTTGGCCAAGATGCTGTCCCAGATGTTCATTGTTACAGAATGGAAACACGTGAGTGGTGCGGTAGACAGCTCAGAGTGGAGCGGAGGAACAATGCATGAAACAAAGAGTCCCAGTAAGTTTTATAAGCTAGTTTATATGTGACCCGGTCAGGGGTGAGTGAGTGTGTATTAGCAACTTGTTAGAGTCTGGTTTCCTTTTAGAACCCTGAGGTAAATTCACTTACCCCTAAGAGAAGCTGTTGAGATAATTGAGCAGTCCTTAATGGAATTGCACCTAAGTGAAAGCGCCTTCAAAGAGATGTTTTGGAGGATCTGGGGAAGATAAAATGTGCAGGCTGGGCTTTTATCGCTTTCTCAAGCCCGGGTGCTTTCACTGCAACCTGGGGAATTTGGACGTGGAGGTTGTAGTTTCTCTTCACACAGGAATTCTTCACGACCTTGTCAACTGAGAGCAGTGCGATAAACAGCGCAGAGCTGCCAGGAATGAGAGTGTTTTTAAAATTTTATAAATAGACTCTCAGGTTAATTATTAGTTTCTCAGTCCTGTCTACTAAGTGAACAAAGAAAGTGCAAACCCAAAAAGCTTATTCAATCATAGTCCCAAAGTTTCTGGAGTTTGGATTCACTTCCACCCTCATATTCTTGTCAACAGGGCTTCTTGGTTCTCACTCTGTGTCACAGAAAATGTGTGTTTCTTCTTATATCTTTGACATTCTAATGTACGCACTGTATGTAAGCGAGGTAACCCAATTTAATGAATGCATCAAAGTTGCTTTCTTATGTGAAGTATTGCTTGAATGAGAACAGACTTATAATCATATTGTATAGACACACATTATTTATGAAATACGTTTAGGTTCGCTAATAAGGAGTTTCAGTTGTATGTTCTGTTTTCTTATTCTACTTCCCCAAGCCCATGTCTTTAGCAGTCAAGGTAGTTGTCTCTAGACATGAGCTTCCTAGACCTTCATTCTCTTCAAACCTCAGCTCATCAAATCGCAATTCAACATTTTTCAAGGAAAAAAAGAACTATTTCATTTTAAGAACAGCTTATTTCATATACAGATAAAATAGTCCAAAGTGATAATACTAAGACAGCAATGTCTTTGTTTTAGAGGTTTGCTCCTCCATAGCAAGACCGATGAAAGCATTTGTTAGAACTTTTCATTTAATAAAATTCACAGTAACTGGATCAGGCAGCCACTGATACTGCGGGCTACATGCCAGGACATATTACGTTGTTATAAAGAACCAGCCATTACAATGGTTTTCATTTCAATAAATTCTGCTGCTAGGTCTAAAAACATGTTCAGGCTCACAACACTATTCACCTTCCTTCCAGGATAAATATACTCTGCACATAGTTACCACACACATTTTATCATTTCCATTGTCATTTCCCTTATATATTGTGGGGCTAAAACTGTGTTGTCCTCTCATAAAAGATGGTGAGGTTTTTGCTTATTTACTCTGTTGTCTTTCCATAGATTTTCATTAATATTGAGTTAATTCTGTTCCTACCCATTATATGAGAAGCCATACTATGTCTAACATGAAACACCTTTTTTATGAATAAATAAAAATATATTATTATATAAGAGCTATAGCACCTCACTCCTGTCTGAATTATCAAAATCCAAAACACAGAGTAACAAAGGCTGGCATGGATGTAGAGACTAGAGAACATTTATATAATTTTGGTATAAATGTAAATTAGTTCAGCCACTGGGGAAAATAGTGTGGAGATTTCTTTAAAAACTAGAAATAGGCTTGCCATATTATACAGCGATCCCACTATGGGTATATACACAAAAGACTTGAACACAATGTGTCAAAAAGATACTGGGACCACCATGTTTATAGCATCACTGTTCATAATAGCCAAAACTTAGAATCAACCAGGTTGCCCATTATCAGATGAATGGGTAAATAAAATGTGGTATATATACACAACAGAATATTATTCAGCTATAAAAAAGAATGATCTTCTGCCATTTGCAGCAAAATGAACTCAACTGCAGGACAGCATGTTGAAGGAAACAAGCCAGACCAAGAGAGACAAATACACATGGTCTCCCTTATATGTGGGAGCTAAATTTAAAAAAAAAAAAAAAAAAAAAAGAAAAACAAAAACAGAACAAAGAAAAAAAGAAAGATTTGTGTATGTATCAGTATCATTGCAAATACAGTTTTGTAAAACTGTTTTAAATGAAAGAAACACTTCAAATGTTAAATGTGTTCAATATTATGCAGGAATAAACACTGCCCCCATTGGAACTCAACCTATTTATATCTTGTTCTTTAATTTTGTCATTGAATGAAAAATATTGATGTGTAGTTAAAAACAGAAATGTGGTTGAGTCATTAGGAATATAAACAATAGTATTCCAAAATGTTTGGTGAAAGGTATCTTAGGGACCAATGTGTTATAGATGAGATATGAGAGATCTCAAAAGAGTAAGTGACTCTCCAATATTTGAAATCCTTGTATTTAAGTAGCAAAACAAGAAAATACAGAAAGGTACAGTACGTAGCGGTTGTATGTGACTCACAATTTTTTTCTTGATATTTACGCTAATTTGTCAAATACATATGGGCTGTATTTTTGGTGATGGACGAAAAGACTGTTTCCAGAGTTTGACAGTCTATTGGGGGAAGTTACCTATGTTCCTTGGGGTTGACTGCTCATATATAATAGGTAGATACATATTCTGAAAACAGAAATTCCTGACTTTTTCAACAGCTGCTGAATTTGAACATTCACAAGTAGGTCTGGAACATAGTATGTTATTGGTCAAGTATGGAACAAATATATAATACTCTATGTTAATATTTTCTGCTATCAGATTCATTGTATTGGACACATCGTTGAGATTGAGTTTATTCTGGGGAATGCTGAAGATGCCATGCAGTCAGAAAGGGTGCTCCAACCATGAGTTCAGCTTCACTGAAGGTTGGATTTGGCATTTATTTGACTTGTGTACACTTTTAAAACACTTCCACTTGCATTTTGTTTAACTATGTGCTTTGGGTATAATAAAGCTAAATATGTAGATTCTAACTTTTTATTGGTGTTTAAAATCAAACTAGTAAAATTATTTCATTTTTTTCACAGTTTAAGACAAAGGATACTCTTGAAAATTAGTCATGCAATACACCAGTGGCTGATCTGCACAGCTTGCTGAAGATAGGAGGCATGAGGCTGAAAATCTGCCCTGGAACATGTCAGGGTGTCTGCAGAACAGTACTCTGCTAAGTGAAAACATTCCAGAGAGTGATTTTTCCATGCCTAGTCCATAATAATGTGGGACAAGCATGGCATGCAAAGGGGATAACTTAAATTTTCTCTTTTATTTTCCCTTCTGTCTTCTCCTCTGGGGAAATGGAAAGCTTGGGCCCAGATGGACAAAGTCATCATAGTAAGAAATATGCATATGACGTACAGAATTTTTTAAAAACATTTGCATTATATTTAAGGAATTGGTGCAGTGGCTTTGGACTAATGTGTGCTAGAGAAGTTTAAAGGAAAATTTAACATAGAAAAATATCCTCCTCACTTCCTCCTTTCCACATGGATAAGATGGGAAGGCTTTAATTGCATGAAAACTTAAGAGATATATTAGAAATGATTGTAGATAGGAAGATAAAAACAGTTCTGTTAGTCACTCTTAAGTGTGGTAAAACTCTACTGGTGGTATCTGAATCACTATTTTCTGTCTGTAAATTTTCTTTCAAAAGCATGTCACAAAGAAGGCCAGAAGCACTTCTTGTCAGTGAATTGGGTTGCAGCTACAAACGAATGTTCTGAAGTTCTAAAAGCTAACACTATGTACTGAGCATAATGAATTAATCTTATGACAAATTTCTTTAATTGAGTCTCACCTCTGTTTCTCTTCTTTCTCACACATGGAGTTTACACATGTTTTTCTTCCTTTCTCTCACTCTGTGAGATTAAAAAAAAATGTGTTTTATGCCTCTCTAAGACATTTGGGATCTATTTGCCATTTCTAATACACACTGAGATGACTTGACAGCAAAAAAGACACACCATTATGGAATCCTCTAACTATTTTCCTAAAACATGCCATTGTATTAATATTGTAAAAAAGAGCAAATTTTAAATGTGTTTACAGTGAGTGTGAAGAGTGGAACCAGTCATAATACTCCACCTACTAGACTTGCCTCATCGGAATGCAGAGCTAGTAAATGTTTCATGGTTCTGTCAGTGTCAATGAAGTTTATGGTCATGGCCTGAATACCAACCTAAATAGGGTTACCAGGTTTGGCAAATAAAAAATACAGGACACCTAGTTAAATTTAAATTTCTTTTGGTAAAAGAGAGTTTTACCACGTATTGCATTGTACCTTGAGTACTACATGAAACAAACTAAAGAAATTATTTATTGTTTGTCTGGCATCCAAGCTTAATTAAGTTTCCTGTAATTTGCCTGACAACCATAGATCTAAAACATTCACTAAGGGCTGTTCTCAGTAATATTAATCAGATTATCTCTCTGTAAGAAGAAAACACCACACACCAGATGTATGAATTAAACCCGTATTATTAATTTAAACAAAGTTATATTTTCCAGGGAGAGACTTGCTTAGTTCAGCAGGTGCAGTTTGCTAGAGGGAAAATCTGAAGGCAACATACCTCAGTGAATATATTTTTGTAGGTTGATAACAATGCATTTCATTCAACAAATATTTATTGAGTGGTGACTATCCTTTGACAAACACTGTAAAAACAGCCTTGGTGTTTCCATGAAACAGAGGAAAAACAAATTTAGAAATGGTATGCATGTTTCTCATACACTGACAATTTATTGGTGTTCACATATATCTGTTCATAAGTCAACAGATTGCCTCCTTTTTTATTCAATACTAATTTTGATTTACATGAATCACTCTGATAATCACATCAACACAAGAGTAGGTGATGTGAAAATGTAGGTGTGTGATGTAGCTTCACATCAACACAAGAGTAGGTGATGTGAAAATGCTTTTATATCTCACCTTGGTTCTTTTTTAAAAAAGTTTTAATTAGCTTTTAACAGATTCAGTGTGGTTTGTCTTCTCTCCCTCCCATTCTCCTTCCTTCTTTCTATTTTTTTGAGATAACATTTTAAATTTACATTAGAGTAAAAAGGATTAATACTTCACCAAATAAGAAGTTTAACAAGTAAAAAGCAAAATGATCTTAGTGTAGTGGGAATATAGACAGCAATTATAAACAATATTTGCATGGAAAAATGACCATTTCGCCCATATATAGTAAATTTTAAGTAATCACAGATCATTAAAACTATGTGAATATAACATTCCTAACCACTGGTTTGACAAAGTATAAAACAGAGGTTTTCAAAACTATATTTGCAGCAATACTGATACAGGCTTTCCTTGTTATTTGCTTTAAATTTTAATTTCCACATATAAGGGAGATATGTGTTATTTGTCTTTCTGGGGC